ATCCTGAAAAGTCTGTCTTGCAGAGACTGACAAAAATGAGCTCCTAAAAATTACTGCCAGATCCTGGAAGATAAATTATTCTAACAGTGGTACAAGAGGATGTGGTGCTGGTCCTTCAAGAGTCACTCTCAACTTATCTGTCCCTAAAGCCTATAAAAAATAGTCTTCATGTATTTCATAACACTTCAGAATGTTATTCTTATTTAGTAGGGGTCATTTTTTGGTATTTTTTACCCAAGCAAAGTCTCTGAGAGCCTGACACCTTGTAATTCTGGAGACTCGCCGTTCTGGAAAATAGTGGCACTGGAGACTAAAAGGTTCCCGATGGTTTCACACGTAATTCTTCACATTAATTATTGATTATTTAGCAGTTAACATGAGTCTTTTCTTCTCCACCTGTTTTTTTCTGACCCCGCTGTCCCAGTGAGCATTTTGCTGACCAATGGTCATACCTTAACTTTGAAATTTCTGTATTGCATTAGTTTTTAATATTTCTCATGGGGATTTTATCATTTTTGACTTCTCAGTCTGAGTTAAATCTCTTTTTTGGCTCATTTCATCTGTAAAAGAAAACCTGCCTAATAATTCTGCACACATTAATAAGGAGTTTTTATTTTTATTTCCAGCCTTTATGTACAATTATATATCACTTCTAATTGATTAAATACAAAAATAATAGTAGTTATTAAGATTGATGTGGTTTGGAATTGGTTAAATGTGCTTGGAAAAAAATATGATCAGAATATCAACGTGCCTAATAATTATGCACTCACAGTAAGATGTGCTCCCTTTACACAGAGTGCGCATGATCGCGAAATCGAAAGTGAAAGTGAACAGCGAGCGCTCATTCAAATGCGATTTCAATACCCCGCATAGTGATAGTGGCTCCCTGATGTGCGAAAATAATATACAATATTAGAATGTTTGCAGGAGCGGGACACACACGTTGCGGGACTGTGGTCAGAAATTCAGCAGGAAGGGGCTTAAGAAAACTGTCCCCAATGCTCTAGGCTGCGCATCAACACACACGCTAAGTTTTTTTCGTGCTACCCCATCTCCACCCCCAATCATTAGTGCCGTTTCGTTCTGTCTTTGACAGAACATATAGGACAATTTTTGAAATAGCACCATAAACAGGGGTTAAAGCAATAAAAAAAATTTTTAAATTTTTTGACTGAAAATTTTTCCTCAGCCAACCCCCATTCCACAGCCATACCTGTCACACACACAGTTTAAAAGCAAAGTTTTTTCTTCTTCTTGTAATTAGGAGCACCTTCTGATCAATAATAAAAAAAATATTATCAAAAATTAGCCTTCCTAATACTAGGTGACATTTGACTCAAAGTGACTTACAGGGGTATTTTCTTTTTACCTTTGTAATGGCATCTTTTTCATCTATGTCAAATTCAGAAATTAATGTTTATAAGCTTTTTAAAAATTATATTTAAAACAATATAATAAGAAGTAGAATAAGACAAATAGGTTACCAATCATATGAAATTAGTATTAATAAACAAATTAATTTGTACAGAGGTGGCACAGAACAACACAAAAGTGGCTTGTACGTACATTTTCAGATGTTTAATGAGGCTCAGAGGTGGCATGAGTGCAATTAAATTCATACATTTATGTGGAGATTAATGTTTTAAATATAAAATTTTGAATAAAGAAATATTAAATTATTTAAATATAATTTAAAATGAAACTAAATCCGCCAGCAGGTGGTGACAAGTCACTGATTTTATCACTGAATCATTCATTCAATTGATTCGTTCGAATGGCTGATTCATTCAAGAATGAAGCAAGTGACTGTCTTTATGAATGGGTAATGATGAATCACTGACTCACTAAATTCGTTCAAAAACGCACTTTCATTGAATGAATGAAACTCAGCTGTGTTTGCTTTTAGAGATGCGAAGTGGCTGAGCTGTTACTATATTTGGAACTATTTTCGTTAAAGAAATAGAGCAAAATCAGGCAGTAGGCTACTTGTTTACTGAACTGTTGTATTGAATCAATATCACATTGGCAAACTAAAGAGTGAGTTCTCAAGACTCGTGCAAATGATACGTCCCGTCATCTGTCATCGCATTATAAGCACGGAACCTGCGGGAATGAGTAGAATTGTTATTAATAGCCGCAATCCCACGCCGAAATTCAAGTCCTGCTCTGTGTTCTCTGCTAATAACCCGACTGTGAATGATGCAAGCGGAGTCACTATGTTGTCACTGAGAAGCTGCAGCTGTGGCGGGAATAATTTTTGGTGTGCTGGCAGAACAACAACAACAACAACAATGCGCTACATGTTTCTTTTCCACTCATTTTTTTTTTCCAATTGACGGAAATCCGTCGTAGCGACGGAAAACTTTAAAGGGGTCATATGATGCGATTTCAATTTTTCCTTTCTCCCAAATGTTCACGCAAAGAAAGGCGGTGTAACTTTTATTCTCACTGTAGTATTTTTGACGCTGCAGCCATGTCGTGAAGGCACTGTGTGTTTCGTTGAGAAAGTGAAACTACTTTGTTTGGTCTTCCAAAAGAGGACGATATCCGCTTCATCATGCCTAGAGCTGATCTGTGCTGGTCGCTGAGGGAATACATCAACTTTCACCATGGACAAAGCGGAGTC